AGGAAAGAAAAAAGCTTCAGGCACAGTCAGCTTCCATTATGTGCTCTCAGGTCATGCTAACATTTAGTAAATTGGTTGTGTTGCTTAGTGTGTTAAATGTTTCGGCTGTAATATTGGTGGCTTTGATCCACTGATTTTACCACAAATCACCTTCGCACTACTGCTTCGATCTTGCACAAGTCTACCAAACATAACATCTAGGTCCACAAAAGAGAATATTTCACGATGATAGCAATTGTTTTCTTGGTACCTAATTATTCTCTTGTTCAACACTGATTGAGAGCTTGCAAAATGTACTTACAATGTACAAGAAGCTTAAAGTGTTTAAGTGATGCAAGCTGTAATTAACCTACAAGTAAACAACATGACACCACATTCATGTGCCTTTACTCCCATCTGACACTCAGAAAAGCATGCACACGTACACACACTGTCATGAAACACACACACAGACACAGTGATCAGATTGTTTCATTAGTGAGGAGCTGATGGATAAGCCTCCCAAAGGAGACATTGACCAAGAGGCCATTGATCTACTGAGCTAGGCCAGTTTGTGTGTGCGTGTATTTGTGTGTGTGTGCTTACGAGAGTGGAAAGTGGCGTACTGATGGAGTCTTTAAGTTGTTAGAGTAAGCACAGTAAATCTAATCCAGCAGTGTTTAATGGGGAGAGAAAGAAACAGGCTGTCGACATATTCATTAGGTCAAATTACTCTGCCCGATCACTGCCATCTCACTCACTCAGTCACCCACCAGAGCAGGAAAGAGCAGCAGCAATATTTTCATCCTGGCAAACCACTATGAGCTGAATGTGCTTGAACGATAGTTAAAAAAGCATATTTATTCCAATTACCCGATGACAACATGCTGCATTTGGAGGCATCGAGTTTCATTTGATCTCGTTCAGGCCTGGCAGAGCACTGAAGTGTAAATCAATCTGGCTAAAACCGGGACCATTAAATTATACAGTCTTATTGATGATTTAATAAAGCTTATTGGGCTCAGGGGGGTGTAATAATGACTTATGGTAATAATGCAATGACACGGGCGTATTTTCTTGAACGCATTGTTGTAAACATTAACAACTGAAGTCAAAAACACAAGAATCCTTTATTTCTGGCAACAAATTACCCTGCCTAAGAGTGTGGGTGCTTGATCGTTTTCCATCTTGCATGTGAGTTATATGTAATTAGCTCTCTAGCTTGTTCTCTTACATTGGACGTGAAGGTAATTGGGGCTTTTGGACACTCGCTCTCAATCTCTGTCAACGTGAGCGTGCGTGTACGAGCATATTAGGGCTGAATTGTGGAAGATGGCCAAACCATTACTGTGTGCTCAGCTTGGTCTAAAGCAGCTTGCAATTCATTAGTAATGAGTCCATTTGAAAGCTAAATGAGAGTTTTCAAGTAGCCAAGCAGTGACCTGTGCAGAGATTATGTCCATTTATCTACACTGCTTTGCAGTTTCACCGTTAAACACACAAATAGCGCACTCACACCATAAAAAAGTATGTTGTAATGTTTCCTTGAATACTCCCTCTGTTAGTATGCTTGTGTTTGTTCAGGCAGCATGAGAAGCTCACATAGAGATAATGAAGTCAGTCAGTTGTACCATTAATTACTGTTTTACACCTGCTTGTCTCAGCTAATTAGAGATGCTGACACAAAAGCACGCACACATCTTGTTTCGTTACATGCACACACAACTAAACATGTTTTATCACACTCAGACTCACAAACTTCTAGGCACCTTTTTTTTTTACATAGACAAGATAAAAATACTTTCTCATTTTCACTTTAAGGAAGGTGAGATGGCGCAGCTAAACACAGCAACCCTCTCAGACTCTCATCTCCAGATACTTGTTCCCACTTTGCTGCTCTCTTGTCCTCCTAGGTTTTTCCTCTACAACGTAGTAGAGATGTGCCAATATGAGATATTATGGACATAATAATTTAAAGCGTAAACATGTTCACAATATTCACAAATTTTTTTTAAAGGTGGACAATATGACAGAAATCGCAGAGGACTGGTACTTTAGTTTCTGTGTTCATGTAGTGAGGATGAAATACCTTTAGGAAAGCCTTCTTTGTGAAAAGATCCAAAGTTCAACTAGATTTAACAAACGGTGCTCTTTGTTGGTTTAATTATCACTGCCTTACTCAGACTGTGTTTTGTGCTTGATGCTGTATTAAAATGCTATATATTGTATGCTGTGATTTTGCAATAGGAAAGTAATTAGAAATTCAGACATTCTTGTCTACCATCACTAGACCTCTTCTGATTCCTTCTGAATATTCAGCAGGCGTAAAATAATTAGCACTGTGTAATATATTTCTGATGTTGCGATCAGCCAATGAAAATTTTTATACACATTCATTAGGTGTTTGTTTTTCAGCTAAACTCTATTGTAGCCAGCCTTGGAGCAATCTTCATCGTAGACGGAGCTGAAGCTGCCTTGAAAACTAAAAGAAGACAGAATATATGGGAGAGATACAAAATCCATGATTAAATATTGTTCTCCTTAAAGGATGAACTCGACTTACAGGCCCAGTTTCAGGTTGATTCACAAGGTTCTGATGCTCGAGTAAAATGCCTGGACTGAGAAGGCTGCATGGAACTGGAACGGCTTTGAGAAACGTTGCTGCTAAACAAAGTCATTAAATATACAAAAACAGAGGAGGGAGCACAAAGACCGTTTAAAGCTTAATTTTCATGGGCTGATGGATTTAGTTACAACACTGCATAGAGTGAACTATAATTAGTACTGTATGTCCTTGAAATGTGTATTTACACTTTGTGTAGGAAAATAAAATGATCTGCCAAGGGATTTCTTTTTTGCACCTAAAATAAATCAAGTGAAATATATATAATTATCTTGTTTTAGGGGCTAAAATTAAGGCTACTTATGCTCTAATTTTGTATTAATTGTAAAATACAATTGTATTTTACAATTATTACATAATTGTACATTTTTCCTGTGAAGTCTGCAGCTATTATAAGTACAGAATCTTCCATAACAATTGGTAAAACTATATTTTTTCGTTGGATCTGCTGCAGTCAATTTAGAATGAAAGTGGTGTGTCTTCTTGAACCAGGCTTTCCCATTAAGACACCAAGAGTCATGATTTTGAAAGGGACAATTGCTTTTCTTGATGACTCTCCTGTATTTGACTTATGAAGCAGCACTGTTCCACAAGTGGGTGGGCAAAGGTAGACCAGTAACTTCAAGTAACTTCAACTGGCAACACATGACACAAAGGTCAGGCATTAAAGTCGTAGGAAAGTCATATCTAAATTTCAAATAATTCTGGCTTAAACATGTATATAAATCAACTCTTTATCCGACCATATTGTCCCAAAAGTTAAAAAATTTATATTTAAAAAAAATCCTGTCTTAAAATCTGTGTGTGTGTGTGTGTGTGTGTGTGGTGGGGTATAGTTATATACCAAAATTCAGCCAATCATATATCAACGGTTATCTGTCAATCAAATTTTTTCGGTCATAGCATTTTGATTCATATTTTGCATCAACACTTGAAATAAGACTCATTTACTTTCCCATTGAGTTATATCCCAGTGCTCACGGGGATGGATGTCTGTGTCTTCGGGAGGCGTAGAGCTAACAGAAATGGCAGCGTTGTGAGGCAAGGGCTCAAACATGGACGGCTGTAAGCCTTCTACACCAAACCAAGCTTCTGCTGCCCTTGCGTCCTCTTCCACAACAACTTCGTCCCCGTGAACATTTTGCTTGCGAACCTTCCGCCACAACAACCCAGCCCCCTTGATAATCGACCAATCACATTTACTTTATTCCCTCGTGTAAAGTTGGGCACCACTCGGGAGAATTCGGAACTGCCACCGTTGGAACAGCCGCTTCCGTATGACTTTAAAAGATAAAAGTAGCTCAGTGATGGCTCTGAGAAGTGTTTTTATCAGTTCAGAAAAGCAGCAACCTCTGTGTGTCTTTGGAGCTGATTTGCTTCCTTAGTGTATTTTGATACCAACACTTAAATGCCTAGGCTGCAGAAAACAGTCTCCCTAGAGACTAGGCTACATTCACCCAACTGCACCACAGTATGTGCTTTGTGTGTTGTTTCCGATTTGAAATGCTTAGTATCATTATCACTTATTGTTTTTTTTCAGCAAGGTGTGACCAACACGTCACAGAAACAGGTGGGGGAGGGGTTAGTGCTATTTGCCACTGCATTGTACAGCTATAGAATATTAGTCAGTCTCTAAGAATTACCTACTTATAATTATCTGGCAGACATTCACTAAAAGAAAAGAGTTTTAAACAGCCACGGTAAACTATGACTACATGACCCTTACCAATAGTATCTCATTAAGTTTAGTCTCTTCTATTTCTAAAACACAATTACAGGAAATAAAAGGAAATATTCCCATGTATTTGTTGATTATCAGATTTTATGTTAACTATTTTTACAATATATTGTATTATTGTATAAATTGTATTATTGTATAAATTGATGAAATATAGAAAATACTATATAATAAAACAGAAGGGGATCCAATTTTTTCAAAAAGATCATAGGCTAGTAGGTCCATCGACATACCACTAGATTAAGCAGATTTAGAATCCACCTAAGTAGTTTTCAGAAATTCTGAAACAATTATATTGTATAGGAATCGATTCTGTTCTTTAGTTCCAGACATTCAAATGCTCAATGTTCTTCTTTTAAAATGCCAAGGCAAAACAATTTTGCAACCAACATAATCAAAAACAGCAAGAAGTCTTGGTAGCCAAATTCCCTCTAAGATAGTCTAACTGCTATGGAAACCCAACATGATCTAATGTTTTGTCTCAGATCATTGTCAAATTGAATCCAGTGTGTTTTGACAGTTATTATATATTGTTAACTTCTTTTATAGCTTGTTTCTGCTGTTAAGCCTAAACCAGTGGTCTTATAACAATATGTTTTCCTCTCTCCCTCCTTGTCTCCCCTTATTTTGCCCCTTCTTTTCTCTTCTTTCTTTGTGCAGTTTGACGTACTCAAGAACTTCTTAAGGTAAGATCCATATTTTTTATGTTTTCCTTCTGTTCCTCCTACCCTTACATTTCACCCACAAAAACCACATGCCGTCAACAGTCAGTACAATGTGCGAATGCATCAGTAGAAGATGTGGGGCCTCAGAACTTATTCTGCTCGCTGCGACAACAATAACGCTGTAAGGATAGCAAAGAGAATGAGTGGCGGGGAGCTCTAACGCTGCATCAAATGTGTCCCAAACTGAATCAGAAGTATTACACTTTTTACTGAGACACTTGCAACATGTTTGCAATATTTGTCACTGTGTTCCATTTAATATTTTTAAATCAAAATGATAGATCATGAATTTTTGCTGTAAATCTGAACAATGTTTGAGAGTCTTGTATTATACATCCATCCCTTTCCTTGGGGTCTTAAAACCGTCAGAGTCTGTTATTCATAATAAGGTCCACCAGGGAAAAACTGGAGCAACAAAACTTTTTCAGAAAGCAACGACAGTAGTAATATTTATGGAGTGCAGTTTTTAGCGGTTCTATATCTCATGCTTATTGCTTTCAGGCTGGGATGCTCTGTAATAATGCCAGTAGACTTACAACAGTTTCAAAAGAAAATTAAATGCACCACACTGCTATAAACTGGCTCTGACCTTGTGTTTGGGCACACAGGGTTCCTTTGTAATATCTGACTGCAGCGTAACAGTGTGAGCCTGGGCAAACTGGGGTGTACATGTTGTGCTTTTTTGTTACTAGTTCAAAGTCTTTTATTTTACTTCCAAATTATTTTAGACAGTAGATGTACATTTTTTCTAACTTTATCTGTGAAGCCTGTTTGGTAAAATGGTAAAAAAAAAAAAAAAAAATGAAACAGGTTAAACAGTGATTAAGGTTTATAAAAAAAAGTATAATTATAAAAACATAAACAGTGTTCTAAAAAAAAGGAATATCATTGAAGTCTATTCAAAAAACACAGTTAGTGAAGGGAAATCCTTTTTTTTAAAAAGAGTTATTCCACAAAGAAGGATAGTTTTCAAGTGCTAATTTCTGTTCATTTAGATGATGAGTTACAGCTACTGAAAACCTACAATTCAGCTTCTCAGCAAAGTTAAATGTTAATAAGTACTATGGAAACAGATCTTAGGCATATTTTCAATATGTAAGAATCTGCCTAGCCTTACCTGATCATTCCGGCAGCCGCATAGTCTCGATCCAGCCTTCTCCTGCTCTGGAAGCCTCCTAATTTGCCAATTGCATTCAAGACTTTCCTTTTGAAGCACCTCTTTGTATTTCTATCTGTCATAAAACCAAGCTGCAACCCATCTCCGGCCCCTTCACTACCCCGATCTACCTGCTTCTTTAATCAGCTCCCCTTTTCCTTTATCTCCAGTCCACTTCCGGGGGAAGATATCTCTCCTCTCATAAATCTGCCCATTCTATCATCATCAGCAATTCTCATCTCTGTTTGCCACTGAGATCTGAGCAACAATATTTTTTATATTCATTCACATCAATAAATTCACTTAATGCCTCATCAAGTTCCAAAAGATTTTAAATAACAAATATTGAGACTCTAAAACATATCCGTATGCTGTACAGTAAATGCACGTAAAAGTTCAGCTGTATCAATGCTGTGCAGTTTTGATTTAGTCAGTTTGAGAATCTAAAGTGTTAAATGTTGCGTTCACACCGAACACATTTTTGGCATCAAAAACCCTAACACCAAAATGTGGATGCTGCGTCAAATGCTGGTCATCTCGCTTTGACGCATCGATTCTCTGGATGCTTTGGTTGTTTCAGGGCAGTCTCAAAAATCCACACACAAATGCAGTGAAGTTTTAAGACCACTGGACCACTGGTGTAATTTAATTTATAATAGTTTATGAACCAGAAATACTTTGGTGAATCTTGTTCTGTGCATGTGTGGATCTTGTGTGCTTGCGTGAATCATTCCGTGCATGTGTTGGTCTTGTCCTGTGCATGTATGAATCACATATTTGTATTTCTGAGAATTGAGACCGATCTAGCTCCATATAAAGAAATTACATCAGTTAATCCTGTGGAGCTGAGCAAGAGCAGAGAGGAAGCTGGGAGCGCAGAGAAGAAGCAGAGAGCATTTTGTCAGAGATGAGTGCACCTCAGACCGTTTTTTTAATGAGGGATTGCGAGTTTAAACGATGCACATTGTTCTCACTACACACGCAGTTCTGTGGCACCACAATTACGGCATCGATGTTAAGCAAAAGAACATGAAATGCAAAGTTTGTCTGAAAACTTTCAGGATTACCCAAAGTAACACATTCAACATCCACCACCTACACCACAACCATGCTGTTGAGTCCAAAGATGTGCAAAAGGCTCCATTACCTCTGCAAAAAAATGTTTGCAGAAGAGGTAACATTATTCTTCTGTTCAATGACCCTTTGTTCAATGTTTTAACCTGAATGGGTACAAGACTTGATATTTAATTAAAATTACTGTAATATGCAATGTGATTTATTCAATAAATAAATTATAAATTGATCAGGTGCATTTCCTATACATGCCTTTATTTCTGATAGAGGAGTTGAAGCTTTATCTTGCATTCATCATTATCAAGTTCAAACTGACCAATTTATTATGATATTTATTTGAGGTATTATCATCCAGCCCTATTCCGTAGCTACAAGCAAGAGCAGCTTGGCTTTGTTTACTTTCATGAGTTACATTACAGTTCAGGATGCTATTATGGCCACCTTCTGCTTATAGGTGTTGTTTGGTCCACTATTTCCTATTCTCTTTTTCCGCAATATAGATTCTTCATCAGGCATGGCTAAAGCAGTCATACCATGATTATTTAACTGGGGTGTGGTTCTTTTGACAGTGGGGGCAGGTCCCAACATCTCCATAAAGTTTGAATTCAGCTTTCTGAAATGGTTCAGTGCTATATAATCAATATTGATTCTATTACTCCTGAATAATTTTACAGATTTTTTATGACAAACCACATTAACTTTTATCTGAGAAGGGGAACTTCCCAAAACATCAATCATGTTGCTCCATAGCCTTAATAGTTAACATCTCAGATTTTTTTCCTTCAGTAAAGGAATGGCTTTACACAATGAATATAACTGTTGTATTCCTTGTTCTGACAATGCAAGCAATCGCTATTGAAGCTCTGACCCCAGCCATAGACAGCACCTTGTAAATTCAGTTCATGCTTCACGCGTCCAAGAGACCTGCAGATCCAAATTATGTCATTTTGGGGTTTCACCTCTCCACATGGTGTCAGTATTAACAGTAAACCTAAGAAAATTTGTACATATGCAGACAGATTTGGGCAGAAAAACATGGTGAGTGAGCAACAGCTCCTACTGGCGAGAGTTTGCTAATTTAAACATATAAAGACATTCTGTGATTTAGCTCATAAATGCAACCTCTATTAACAGATTGTTGTAGGAAAAGTATAAAAGCTGTGTCAGCTGGCTCCTTTTCTGTGCCTATTGTTTCCAAGCATTACTCAACCTTAAGGCAGCCTGTGTACCTCAGACCTCAAACCAAGTTTTCTGTCTTGTGGGAGGGTTTTATGGTGTCAGTGACTGTTTGCTAAACAACTGTCAAGCCACCAGTAGTCTGCATAATTTTGCAGGCAAAAAAGTATATTTTTTATTAGAATAAATGTTGAGTTTTTGTGGGACGTAACCTATAAAGATTCAAATGTACAGCATGAGGGATGTGGACACCCTGCATTTAATTCTATTAGATGTCTTTGATTTCTGACCTTTTGATCTTAGCTCCGTCTTCTCTCTCTTCTTTCTGTGGCCATGTCAGAATAACGTAAATATAATCTTTCAGAAACATAAAGCTCTTTAAAGTCATAATAAATTAACTTTCTGAACTTCTCAACTAGGAAAGGAAATGAGTCATAATTATTATTTTCCAATTCATCACAATTCACTTGTGAATTAACAGTGTTAAAAAAAAGAATAAAAAAAAAAGAAAAACCAAAGCATTCCCGAAATGTAAAATTGAACCATTTTGTTCCTGTTTTATTTAATTCTGTTATATATTCTTTAGGCACCAATAGATTAAGTTTTTTTTTTTTCAACAATTTTCTTTTTATCTTTAAGAAGTCGCTTACCTGGAGACTCATCTTTTTAAGGTTCTAGGATTCTGCATTTATAATCTCCACACTAATTGTAGTTTTGCTGCAGTTCTGCTGCAGCATCTGCATGCACTGGAGAAAGTGCAAGGAAAACGAGAAAAATGCTGAAGACATATATTTATGAGCAAAGTAGATCCTCTAGGGACGGTTGAAACGTAAAGGTGAGCATATTTATTATCACAAGCAATGGATGAGATTTCTGTTCAATCAGTCAAATTTCTGTGAGAGATGATCACCTGGTCTCCTTATAGCCCATCTGCTGGGCTAACACACAGGAGGAATGACTGGGCAGGTGAATTCAATCCTCTCTAGATGAGTCAGTCGCACTGGTTAAGTTTGTTTAACTGTGCTTTAGGGCAGTGCTGATGGCGAAGGATTCTATGGTGAGTTGATCATTAAAATGTTTGAAAGAAATAACTTTAATGAAATAAAAACATATTTGTGGAGCAGTGGTAAAGTTAAAGAAATATGACTTCATCATTATGATAAAAATTGATTATGTTAAGTACTGCGGTCTGTGCAAGTAGTTTAGCTAATTAGGCTAAAGATGGAAAAATAGAGTAGTTGAGAATCCTTTCGTTGTCTGTTTTCTAGTAAAATATCTCATGGGAATACAATATTTTTGACCAAAATATTAATTTGTTAAACTCACAAAAACGAACTATAAGACCCTTTATTTTTCCCAGTGGAAGGCTGTGAGGGCATGCAAGACCTTCACTGCTGGGCTAAAATCAATCAGAAACACTTACCTACATTCACAACCTAGACTTTAGTTTTTTTCAAGCGTATTAATTTATTCCAAACAATCCATTCATTTCATTTTGTAGCTTTTCTCTTGGCTGCACTGCTTTCTTTACATTTACGTGGTTGCTACATTTTTTTTTATT